TAAAAAAAATTTTTTGAAAACTTGAAAATTTTTATAAAAAGTAGAACTTTACAACTTAACTTTTGGAAATGTTTCGGAAAATCTACGTCTTATAAATATAGATAATAAAATATCTTTTATGAACTAAAAGTTTTTCAAAAAAAAAAAATTTTATCAACAACCTATTTTCTATGTGCAAATGACAGTCAAAGTAAAACAAAATGTAGGATTTATTTTTGCTTATAGAATAATTCACCAATTTCTAATATAAAACACTATCTACAGATTTTCATTATAGCGTCTCATATAATAGTGATTATTATCACTGTCTGATATCATCTATGCTTGTCCCAACTATGCCACGTTCATATTGTGCCACGACACTTATGATACTTCAAAAATATCATTAGTTTGTTTATGTACTACTGTTTCTATGCGAGTTGCTATTTTCAACCGCACGGAAAATGTTGTAGGTTTTTCTAAGGCGATTCTAAAACGATCAAAGATTGTCTGTTTATTTGCAAGGAAAACTTCCCGCCTTTATTATTTGATACTTGATCGCAATAAGTATGTTTGGCGTTCTAATCATGATCTATATTAGAACAGTTGCCTATTGTTTGGAAAAATTCATTGGATTTATTTAAGTCACTGCCACATTGAGGTGAGCAATAGAGTTCCGAAACAGAAAAATCATTATTCTCATTATTGAATACTTTGTTAACTTAAAATAGTTGATGCATTGTTTTATAATAACTGCTGTACGATCACGTGCTCTACTACTTTGGTATAAGATAGTATAAATAATATAATTTTTTATGCTTAAAAAAGTCCATGGGTGAAATGTATTTCTGAAAAAAGAACTTTGACAATATCTCATTACTTAAGAAGTCTTTGAGTTCATGTTTACGCTATACTAGCCAATTTGTATTCCAAGCTATAATTATTCGTAATGTATGATTCATTACTTCTTTTTTTATAATTCTTAAACTTAAATTGTTTACTTTCTAACCTATCAAGTCTACTTGTCATATTTGTTAAAGATTTTGTTATATTTTTAGAGACTGATATAATTTCCATTAGATCAGGAATATCATTTTTAACCGGCTGTGTATTGGTTGTTTTTTAAGAAAAACGTTATTTTCATTGGAACTATCAACTATTTTAGCATAAGGAACATCTGATATTACAGTTTTCGCAGATTGGAGACGTTGTATTACGGATGTTTTTTTGGATGTTTTTTTGGTTGGATTTATTCTTTTGGTTTATTATAAGCTGAACCGCCTTTTCGATTTGTGGTGTAAGGTTCTCCGCAATTGACTTATTTTGATTTTGATTTCTTTAGTTTTTAGAAATTTTCTATTTTTTGTACTTCACCATATTTACACAGATAATTTTTTTATACGAATAATTTTGAGTATATCCAAAAGTTTGGCAGTTTTTACACTATGACACTCCTTTCTTTTCTTTGGAGGTTTATTTTATGATAACATAAATTATTGAAGTCATATATGACTTTATTGTAATCTTATGGGTCAAGATTTACGAAAAATGAAAGTAATTTTATTATTATTTTTTCGTTATTTTTGTCGTTAGAATTAATTTTTTTCTTAATTTGGATGTCAGTGATATTACTTGCATGAACATTTTCTGCTAGGGTTCTTTTAAATTAGTAAATTTCAGTGTCGGGATGTAATTCTCTGATTACATTACGAAACTTCTTTTTTGTTTTTAATTGATCACTTTGATACTCAATTTTTATTCAAGTAATTTTAAAGTACGTCTGAACTGGTGTTTGTCACTAGTCATAATTTTAATATTATAATTATTAATAGTTTTTAACTGTTGCTCATGACTTATGGCTCCTTCACAAACAAAATTATTCGTCGATATTTTTTACACCGCAGGCAGTAATTATAATTTCATACATGTTCATTGTTGACAAAAAATGGTGGCACAAGACGTTGACCTAAATTACTGTTAGTATAACTATCATTTTTTCATAGTAAGCAAAAAAATTTTTCGTTATTATATATTTGTTAAACAATACGTACACATTCGACACTATAAAGCGAAAAATACATGTTACTCGTTTAGTAAATGAATCGTAACTNTCGACACTATAAAGCGAAAAATACATGTTACTCGTTTAGTAAATGAATCGTAACTAATTACTCTAATTAAAACTATAAATTACTAAGGATTTATTCATATATTAAACTTATAAATCAAAGAAATACTAAAAAGGATAAATCTAAGTGAAAGATAATAAACCTCCACTTACACGATTTCTGACCTCATCTATGCACAAACCAGCAGTCCTCATATCACACCCAATTACATACAATCACCTCTTTTTTGGACTATCTCATCCTTTTTTTCCTTCAAAATTCATTTCCATTCTTACAACTTCATATTTTTCTTTCCTCATAATACGACTATCTAAGGCTATATTCTCTCATCTTATGAGATAAGGACTACTCCTATGGTTCATCACATATTCATTTCTTATCTTTTATCATCACCCACTCATCTATCAAGGCATCTTCATCCCCATTATTTTTCATTATCTGCTCTATTTTATTGGCAAATTCCAATAACACTGTGAACCATACAACATAGATGGTCTCACTACAGTCAAATAAAACTTACCCTTTACCTTTATTGGGTTTTTCCTACCACACAAAACACCTAAAATTTCTCTCCATTTTTAGCTTCGATGCGAAGCTGAGAAGGTATTAATTTTACCATGATGTGTTTATTTTTTTATTTTTTTTATTTTTTTTTTGTGTCTGTCACTACTTTTTCTCAGCTCTCACTGGACCGATTTCTTTTAACAATA